TGTGTGTGTGTGTGTGTGTGTGTGTGTGTGTGTTAGGGATGGATGAAGGGGGCTGGCAGGAAAAAAAAAAAAAGACCCAAAACAAAAATATGGACTCTGGGGAAAGTTGAGAGCAAGAGTAGGTGATGTGGGTTAGTACATTTTCTTTCCAAACTTTGATTTGGCAGAGATTGTTTAAAATCATATTCTATTTGATTGTTCCTTGCTGTTCAACACTTGTTTTCATCGAGTGTGGAAGTGAGAAGGCCTGGGAGCCCTAGGTGAGCAAAGCTGGCCACCTAGGGAGAAACGCAGAGAGGGGTTGGAGGCTGTCCTGCTCAGGGAATCTGTGCCTGGGCGGAAGGCAAGGGGCTTTCTGCTGCAGCTGAGCCTAGTTCTTGGGTTTGACGATGGCTTCCTCTTTGTAAGTCTCATTGTGGAGCTTCCAGGCTCTTCTTTACCTTTCTCAGAACAAGAATCCCATTGTTCTACAGTTAAAGGTCTGAGGAAATACGCAATTTATACATTTCGAATCTCTTTCCTTGGGGGATCTAAGTAATCTAATGCTTTATTTCTGTACCCCCGCTTTCCAATCTAATTTTGGTATGCTTTCTCAAGGGCAAAACAGCTTTGGATGAAGAGTGTTAAAGTGGGCTGGTGTGAGGAGGCATTCCTGCAGCGTGGAGTTCACTTATATTAAAGAAATGGCAGACATTTGATTTTAAAAATGATGTGTCTCCTGTTTCTACGTCTGAATCGGGGTCTTAGCATTTTTTTTTTCATTTTAATCCTCCTTCCCCGCTTTATTAACAATATAATCAGAAAGGAAGTTGTAGATGGGCACCATTGCATTTTTAAAAGGAAGAAAAATTGTCTTCATGAGCAGACTTATTCCTTTCCAAAGCGAAAGTATTCTCCCTGAGCCAGCTGTACACGGAGCAACTTGTTACTGGCAAAGTCTCTTTTTCTTTTGTTTCATTAAGTGTGTCCAAAGCAGATTTACCTCCTGTTTCTCACTCTTTAATGGTTGATCTCTATTACACATCTGTTGTAAGTGAACATTAACTGGGTTTAGATCTTTCAATTAAAAAAAAATCCACTATTCCAATAATCCGAGGGCATCTTTTGTTTGAGACCAATCTCTTACTCTATCATGCTGTTCGTTGTTCATGTCTCTTTTCTTGAGTGGACCTACATATGTTTTCACTTGTCATTTTCCATAAAATATTTATTTCTTTTTTTTAATATGGGAGTGAGTGGTGGGAAGATTATAAATACCAAATTTCTAAAATTCCCTTTATTGAAAGGAACGTGAAACCATGGCTTGGCTTCCCCTTCCTGCCCCTCCTCCCTTCTGGTCAGTTTTTTTTTTTTTTTTCCTCTCTCTGAGTAAAAGAGAATCAATTCAGCCTAAACTAGCTGGCTTTGGTACTGCCTTGCCTCCATGAGAGATGCCCCCAGGAGAGATGCCCCAGTGATCTGGTACCCTTGTGGCAAGGTCACTCAGAAAAGTATGGCGTGTCGAGATGCATGGCCCTAGTGGATTACCTTGGAGTAGCAATTGCTGGATGAGCCCCTCTTGTTGAGATGATAGGATCTTTCGGCAAAAGACAGGGGCTGCAGAGGGTGAAAGAAAAAGACATCTGAAAAACTGCAAAGCCATGGGGGACCAAAAACTAGGTGTCTCTCTGCTTCGTGATGTTGGGTGTCAGGATGAATGTCCAAGAGTAGGTGGAGCACATTGACCCTTTCCTTCCCTCCCTTCTTTCCTTCCTTCCTTCTTTCTCTTTCACATTCCTTTTATCTTACCCTCCTTCCTTTCCTTCCTTCATCGAAAATTGTCCAGTCAAATTGCCCCATCTCTCCAAGACAAAAGAAGTCCACTGAGATTTTCCACAAGACGTACATCTTTAAAAAGAGAAGGAGGGGTGCAGGGCAGAAAATCTTCCTGTTGGTGTAGTTCTGCTGACATCACCATGGATTTGGTGTTCAAGTCCACTGCCCGGCAAAACTCAAATAGATTTTCCCCTTTGCAAGCAGCTGCACAGTGAGTTCAGTTCGCCTCCCATTAGTAAAGGGACAATGAGGGAAAGGCCAACTCCACGTCTAAAACATGGCCCATGAAAGACGTTGGAACAGAAGCCAAGAATCCTGCTGCGGTGGGAAAGGGATAGACTCATGAATCCACCACATTCAGATATCTGCTCCTTTTTAGCATCCTTATCAACAGAGAGAAATAATGACTCCGGAATCATTTTTGAGTCCAAAAGTTAAGGTTGGTGTCGCAAAGATCCTATATCAGGTAATCACGACCTTATTCATTGATTATACCTTTACCATTCTTCTTCACTATTGACACCCTGTTTCTTAATCAGGTTTAGCAAGTGAGCAATTTGGCTTGAGATACTGGAATTCGGGAGTATTCTGAGATTTCACATTCCTATTTGATTATATTTCTGGTAAAATTGTTCTCGGGGTCTGCGGTAGCCAGGGAAATTCCAGGAAAAATGTGAAAGTAACTTATTTGCAGAACCTTTTTATTATGCATAGTTTTAGAAAGCAAGTAAACAAAATGCTTCCCAAGGTTTGTCTAGAAATCCTTTGTTTCAGTTTTTGATGTTACTTTTTACTCTTGTTCTGGCATTACTTCCAATTTAAGTTTGCAAAAAGAATTGGGTGACAAGAAAGAAAGGAGGGAAGAAAGAAGAGAAAAAGCAACCAGAAAACAAGAATCTTGATGCCCCCCCCCAATATTTTAAATGTCTTATTTTCCAGATGCGGGTAAATGATTGGAAGACATTGACTTAGCAAGATGGAAGCAGGTTTAAAAATAAAATTCATAAGAAGTTATCTTTTCCAGGTAAGGGTGTTTTCCTGGCATTTCCCCCAAATTTTTCACAGATTTTTGGGACATACTTGAGTGGTTTATTTAGAAAGAACAACTATATTTTAAACATAGTTTTAAAAAATAGCAACCAATTTTATAATTTTCATAGCCGATGAGTGGAGTTGGCATACTATCCAATGGAGTTCGGAACAGTTTTTAAAATTTATTACATAATAGTACTTTCTTCTTTTGACAGTGATTTAGGAAGGACTCATTTGAAATCAGCAGGTACTGTCCTTATACTCTGTGGCTATCTTGGGTATTTGAATTCAAAAGTGAAACGATTAGAGGATTGGCTCTAAAAAGCCTACCAAGTGTTCTGGGTTCTGGAAGAGAGGGCTTATATAAGTTGCAGGATGACAATGTTGATATTGTAACTGTAGTCTAAGTTAGTCCTAAATTGGTAATACTATATGGCACTTTATGGAACTATGCCAGTACGTTCCCAATGAACAGGGCTTAGGCTTAGCTGTTATGATACAGGAAGTTTCCTTTTAGTGTCAACGAAAATATGTGAGCTACTTTAAAACGTTTGATAATATAAATAAATTTTTTTAGTAAATTACCTTGCCTTGCATTTGCCATTGTCTAAAGGCATTAGCTTATATTTTTAACTTATGTATTAGTATTACTAAGAGAGCCCCCACAGAATTTTGCTTAATGAGGCAAGCCAAAATTTCCTCTGAAAAGCATCCTTATTTTCCATCTTAACACAAAGAAGGTCTTTGAAGAAGGTATTCAATTACTATTTCAGGAAAACTATCTATCTAAACATACCCTTACTCTACCCTACTAGGTCAGTATATGATTCAATTTGATCCCTCCTCCTCCTTCTCCTCCTCCTCCTCCTCCTCTTCCTTCTTTTTTTTAGTAGCCTGGGTGATTTTTGATTGCTCTTTCATTTTTATTTTTTTGAATTTAAAAATTTGGATTGTTCAGAAGCTAACATTAACAATTACCCTAGCAAAATAGAATAAATAACTTCTTTTCATCTTATATTTGCTAAAGAGAATGATATAAGATGCCCCTAACTGAAACACAGCATTGGCATCCTTTCTCTGGGCTTAAGAGAATACCATGCAAATTCATGAAGGTGGTGCCATTTTGACAGATCTTAGTCCACTGCTAACAGATAATGCTTTATATTGTTTTAATAAACATGATATAGGTTGAGTATCCTTTATCTGAAACGGTTGGGACCAGAAGTATTTCAGATTTTTTTTTATTATTTTATGGAGTTGGGAATATTTGCAGATACTTTGAGATAACTTGGTCAGGGGACCCAAACTTAAACACAAAATTCGTTTATGTTTCTTATAGACCTTATTGCATGTACCTGAAGCTAATTGTATACAACATGTTTGATGCACCTGCTTTTGGACATGTCACATGAGTTCAGATGTGGAGATTTTTATACTTATGACATCATGTCTGCTCAAAAAGTATCAGGTTTTGATACATCTAAGATGTTGTATTTTTGGATTAGGGTTATTCAGCCTGTAATAACAATTAGTTCTTTTTATTTGGGGAATCTGTTCATATTCCCTTCAGTTTTAAGAAGAGCTCCTGTGTCCCATATATTTTAACAATCCTTAATGTTGTTCAAAGTGTTCATCTTTAAGTGCCCATGGCCCTTTTTTGGTACCTGGGATTGAACCAGGAATGTTTAACTACTGAGCCACATCAAGAGCAGCTCCCCTTTCTTTCTTTTCTCTTTCTTTTTTTTTTTAATTTTTTTTATTTTGAGACAATGTCTTGCTGAGTTTCTCAGGGCCTTGGTAAAATGCTGAGTCTGGCTTTGCACTCTCAGTCCTCCTTCCTCAGCCTCCCGAGCAGCTGGTATTACAGATTACAATCAAGTACCACTGTGCCCAGCTCTGGCCCTATTCCTCTGTCAGAGAGATCAAAGGAAAATAAGAGTCTCCAGGCTTATTTTTTTTTAATATTTTATTTTATAAAGAAATGAGCATTTTAAAATAAACTAAGTAAAGACATTTTGGGGTTTCTCATGTGGATACTCATTTTCACTTGGCTGTTGTCACTTCTGTGGATCTGAAAGACAAGTCTCACAGAACTACAGATTACAGTTTGGGCAACTTCTGCAGCAGCAGCAGGCTCCAGGCAGTTGCACCCAGCGCTCACTAGAGATGACATAGTCAGACAGCAGGTATCCCCAGATGGGTGCATTTCAGTCCAGGTCTTCCTACTATTGTTCTTCTATTCTCTTGATTTCACCTTCTAGATGTGTATATAGAACCTGATCTTTTCTCTGAATAATACCCCAATTCACTTTTTATCATTTTTTTTTTTTTTTTCGTTGGGGTTTTGTTTTTTTTTTTCCTTTTTTGAAAAAAAGGAGTAAAGTCAATTTGTTAAAGTCAAGGGGATTATTTTGAGAGCCAGGATCCATAATCATAGCTAAGAAAATTTGTAAAGGTCTCTTTTTAGGTCATTTCAAAGGATGGAAGTGTGAGCTTTTCCCAGCACACAGCGAGGATAATTATTTAGCTTTCCAAACTGTGAGTCTTTGTACTGATGATTAAGACTAGTTCTTCCATAAAACTCATAGGAGGAGTCATTCCTACAAGTTCATTGCCTTGGATGTCCCATTCTGAGATGTAGAACACAAGACTCCAAGAAAGGATGATTCGGTTGACAAATGAAATCCTTTTATGAGAAGGAAACATATTCATTTCTCATACCCTTGAACAGTGTTGGGGGTAGCAATTATGTAATTACTTTTATGGTTTGAATTTTACAAAATATACCTAAACAAGTCCATTGTTGGTATTTGGACCAATAATAGGGGCAAGGATGGGTGGGGGTAGGAATAAAACAACAAACTTTCCCTGAAGATGAGTCTTCCAGTTTAATATAATTATTTAATATAATTGTATCCCCTCTAGAATGGTATTCAGAAGATGCTCTTTCAAGTCTAATGGTAGTTTTTACTAGTTTATTCCAGCTGTTTTCCATAATGTAAATAGAAAAGGGAAGCTTCACTATTCTATTCCATGCAATTACAAGTATTTTTTTTTTAAATGATCCTGTACTTGGGCCTTCAGGTGTTTTCTATTTACAATTTAAAGAATTTTTCTTTATTATGTTGATTTGCCATATTGACATTACTTTGCCCACATCGTGCATTAAGGACTGAATAAATGAGGATTCCATTTTTTATACAGTAAAATGATGAGGTTTGCCTAAAACCCACGATATTGTGGAGAAAGTGCAAACCTAGGCAGGTACTTGGGAGAGAATAGGAGATTTTTCCTAACTTTTGCCCTTTTGAGGGCGGGACTAAATCCTTTTCCTTTCTGGCATAAAATAATTGAAGGGCCAAACCGTGTTGGACTAATGGTTTTAACATTTTATTTTCAGACATGTCAAACCCCCAAACGAGAGAAGATGCCGAGGCCTGTTGCCACAAACCCGTAGATCCGAACTTGTGGTGATAGTCCACACAAGCTTGTGTCTATAGGTCTGTGTCTGGTAGGCAATTGCACAAGCCATGGGCTTTGCCTGTGTGCCACCACTATCCCTTCAGTCTTATCCTCCCCCTCCCCTTAGTCTCCTTCAAGAGAGGTACAGATGGAAGGTGGGCCTCAAGAGGAGGAAGGAGACCTTTTGTTCTGAAATGGACAAGGTTAATTAATAGGCTTGCCCTCATCCCTACTGACTGCTCTCACCTGGTCTCAGCTGTCAAATTAGGAGGCTGGGTTGCAGGTGAGGCTGCAAGAATTTGAGTGATTCAGACAACTGACTGTTGAGTGATGAGTAAATAGATAAGCGGACAAGGGTTCATTTTGATTCCTGGAAGCCTGACTAATTGTTTGCAAAGCTATTATGATCTTTTTGGAAAGTGACAGAGACTGGTTTACAGGACCAATCTTACTCTGGTTTGTGTTGTTACTTTATTGCAATTCCTCCCTCCTATTTTTTGCCAAGTTCAGTCCAATCAGTCCTTATTTTAATAAAAGAGATGACCCAGGGGAATGGATAATCTGCTTAACTATTTATACTTCTGTAAATACCCAGCAGGATAAGAAGAAGAACTTTTTGGTTAAAAAAAAAAAAAAGATACGGCCTGTTTAGATCCAAACTCATCTTTGGTCCCAACATTCCCTGGTCAGAGCTGTTTTATAAGTCTTTATCATGTTTGAAAGGCTGGAATGAAAATAATTTTATCCCTTTGCCTCTTAAATGTCACCATTGTGCCAGGATTGGAAAGCCAAGCTGACCACAGATCAAAGCAAAACTGGCTATATTTGTATCATTCCAGCAATGTGAGCTGAGGATTCTGTAAACAGAACCCAGGGTGAAAAGTTGATCAGATTTTGGATGCCTCTTAAACTTATACTCCCTTTTGTTTAAGCACAGAAGCATAGTACCAGGAATTCCCTTAAGTTATTTGTTTATTTGTTTGTTTGTTTATGAGTGTGGTGTAGCCTCTTCTAACAAAGAGGAGTCAACCTGTAATAACTGGTGCATTAACATCAGAAAAGAGTTTGAAATTCAAATGGATACATTGTATCTCCTCTTAAGAGTTGCATTGTTCAGGGAGACCTAGAACTTTCTTCTGTCATGTATTAGGAAGGACAGAATGCAAAGCTCTATAAATGCTAGATCAAGAGGGTGGGTTTTTATGCTTTTCTTTTGTGTGGCATAAAGGGGGCTGTCTGTGGGTCTCAGCCCTGAACTTGCCAAGAAGTCATTGCTTTAATATGGAATGATGGAAGATTACACCCAGGAGAGAAAGAGTGTCCTCATTGGTGTATGTCATGTGTAATTGTTTGCCCAAGGTCTTCATCCACCCAGTAAGCAAACAATCTTCTTGGTTGGGTTTACATGCCTCTTTGAAGTGGTTGGCTTGGAATGAGTAAACTGCCAGCAAATGAACCCGGCACCTCCACTGGGCAAACATGTGTTTGATATGAGCAATGTTTCATCTCTGCTCATCATCCCTCTGACCT